TGAGCTCTCTACACTCCTCTCTCTCTCTCATCGCGTTTTGTGGTTTTAACGTAGGTTTGTATTTTATACAAAATACGGGTTAGCCTCAACATGTTTTTTTTTATTTTCTTTTCAGCTTTTTATTGTTTTTGGCAGAGAACTAACTAGGGACCGTGTTGTCGAAGTACTGGTACAACGCTTGGCGCAATATTATGGGTTTCTATTCCATCTACATTACTACTACTCCCCCCCCCCCCCCCCCCCCCTTTCACTATTACGTGGATGCGGTTCGCTGATCATCCTCTAGATGGCGTAAGCTACATGGAAATTAGAGGCGAGATAAAAATCTCGGGATGGGCATGATGAGTTTGTCGGAAAGGACAAACTTCTTAGGCAAACTTGTTTGGCTGCCTCCTTCCCTACCTCTCCACTGCGACTGTGCAGTACAGGGCCACGCGCATTTCTCTTCTCGTCGAAAAAATGGCACAGAAAGTTGCCCATGGGGTATAGAACGTTTATACTTTATCCGTATACTTTAGTAGGGAACACATCGTATTCAGAATTCTCCCCTTGGCGAATCAGCGTGGTGCTGTCTGCTTGCTCTGGAGCGCTCTTTTTAGAATGCGCGAGATGGGTGGAGTGCGCCCCCCCCCCCCCCCCCCTTCTCTCAGAGCGCTCCCTAGCACTCCGTCTCTGGCCCCGGCAGGGAAAATGGGGGGCGGCGCAGGCGTCGCGTGGGGTACTAGGACGGAGATCACGTGGTTTCGTTGACGATGGCCGGCAGTGGTCTGCGGTCCTACGAAGTGCTCGTGCGTTCGACGGTGCGAGGATTACAACGGACGGGACGACATTCGCTCGTGACCGTGACACGAAAACTCGACGTGGGAAGTATTCCCAGTAGAGATGCCGCGAACTTTTTGCGAACCTGAGGTTTGAAGATCGAACCAAGGAGTTCGAAAGGTCGAACTTGCTACATAAAAATTCGACGATTTTCGAGCTTCCGAATTTCGGCGCTAAGAAAATGCGGTTGTTTTAGAACTTCCGAATTTTTCGCGTTATGAAATTCGGCAATTTTCGTACTTTCGAACCTGCTGAATTCAAAAGTTTAACTTTGAACCTCTAAACAAAACACCGGCGAAGTTCGAATTAAGTTCACCCCCATAGGTCCTAGGCAACAGCTATAAACAACACAATATATCAATGTGGAGAGTGACAATATTGCATTGGAGTTTTATATAGCTGATCGTACCCCAAAGGATCACTTTGGGCTGGCCTCGGCTTCGTACCTTTTTTTTTTTTTTTTTTTGGCTTCCGCACAGAGCCTTTTCCGCGCACAACTCCGTAGGTTTTGTGCGGGAGACATATACAAGTTAATAAAATAAAGGTAATTAAGTTAAAGGCCGACCTACAATATCACTTTCCGCAAGGTGGACGAATTCTCCTCCCTGCCCCACTTTTCCCTTTTGCCCCTTCTTCCACTGCTATCTTGACGGGGGGGAGGGAGGGAGGGAGGGAGGGAGGGAGGGAGGGAGGGAGGGAGGGAGGGAGGAAGGGACTTTTTTTGTTGCTACATCTTGGGGCTGGATAAGCCGGTAGCTTATCCTGGCTTACCCAGCCCCAAGATGCACTAACAAAACGAGTCCCCTCACTGCCAAGATAGCAATGGGAGAGGGATAAGTGGGAAGAGTGGCGAAGAGGATTTTCCTACCTTGCGTGGGAAAATAGGTCGGGCTTTAAGTTACTGAGTATTGGCTTCAAAAGTAATCTAAGCAGAGTAGAAATTACTCAAATGGAAATTAATTGAGTAAATTACGCTGCCATAGAAAAGTAGCAAATTACTTTTAAGTTACTTTGAGAGAAATAGAGAAAATTGGGGAGTGCCTACTCCTCGCTGCAACTAGGAAAATATTGCTTACGTTTTATACTACCGTCCTTAGAAAATAGTTATCACTGATCTGCTTGTGCATTTTGTTTTATGCACCTGTAAATACAGAGGACTTCATACAATGTATGAAACCGAGAGAGTATGATTTTTACGATTTTTTTTTCTTTATCTGTGCGCTCTAAACTTTTATGTTCACAATGTTTTTTTTTTGTTTCTTTTTTTCCCTTGTGGTGGTTTTTACCCAGTGCATCTTTTTTTTTTCCAGGTGAGAGTGCTTTTGAAATGTATTTTTAATATTGCTTTGGTATTTTTTTCTTTCTTTTTGAATATTTTAGCACGATGCTGCTTAGCTGCCAATATGAAGGGTTGGTGGACTCGTCAAGCTGCAATGCTGCAGCTTTTTTTCCCCACAGCTTTTTCATCTATGGTTGCACATGGTGAAAATAATCTTTTATTTTATTTTATATTTATATATGGTAACAAGACAGTACGTAGGTTCTGATCCGTTAGCGAGGTCCATATCACATGAGCGAATGACGTTTTAGGGAACAGCGACATTTGAGTGAATCGACGTTTTAGCGATTTATCTATCTCCTTGTTTTGTGTGATATGGAGCCCAAATACACCTCGTATGGATTGCCTTCGCATCACGGTATGTACACTTTGTTATTAGTATGCCATTTTTATTCTGACACGACGGCACGTCACTGTCGAGCTATAACAGTTCGTGGGAGCTACGCAATGCCGGTCCCACATCTCTTTGCCGAGGGTCACATCAGTATCGAGTGGTAATCGTAAAAGATCGGTCCCGAAGCACTTCGATCAAACGCGCGCGTCCGCTCCGAGTGTGCCCAGGTATTTACGTGGATCTTGTTGACACTCGTAGTTGAAACGCAATTTTTTAACATCGGTTCGCTCCTGCATCTCCGAGGCCGCGAAAAACGCCGCGGCGATTTGTTTCCATCTACGTCGCTTTGCTGGCTTTGCAAACGACTATAGCACGGGCCGGTTTTTCCAACTATAACAGTTGGGTTGACTCACAGATCAGTGGGTTGACTTCGGAGGAACGAGCCGGGAGCATACTCCGGAGGAGTGCGCGAAGTAAAGGGTAAAGGCAGATGTCACGAAAACTGGACATGACGTCACGTACGTCAAACTACTACTCTGCCTTCTTGCTCTGCCCCGTATCGACCTCCGAAAAAGGCGTCCCGTCGGGCACCATAGCAGCCATAGGTCGGCGCCGAGGCGATTTGATGTTCGCGGAGTGAAGTATATTTCTCTAGTAAAATGCTTGCCTCATCTCCGATGTACTTCAGGCATAAGCTAGCACTAAAGACCAGTCTGCTGCATGAAATACCAGATGTTTGGAAACAAAATAAACCGTTTTTTTTTTTCTTTTTGTCGCAAAATTAAACTATTTTATTATCGTCGAACTCTCTCACCAGATGTAGCGCTAGCGATTGGAATCAGATCTCAGAGTCTCGGAACTAGTGTTAGCTATTCCATCTTTTTTGTCTGACCTCAGCCTGATTTCACAGAGGATGTGTGTAATGTATATCCACAACACGTGACACTTCGCGAGCGTGCGAGGATCAAGTTCAACTTCAACACCCCTTTCACGGTCCGGGGGATTACGCACGGTCGAGATGCGGAGAACTGAATCTTGTCCATAGCACCATGCCTCGGAACAAGATATCGTTCCGTCGACAAAACGACTCGATGCACGCCACGTAATGAACGCGAAAGCCTATTGATGTGATCGGAGTTAACCCAGTTAAAGAAATGTTATGTCATTCCTTCACAAACCAACGTCGCACTACCGATTAACGACACGTCAGCACCCGGCCACTGCTGACACTAGCCGTTATTCTGTTCGTAACTTACAAGCGATTTGCGTAAATCTTCGATGAGAAAATGGAACCCGTTCCCGCGATATCATCCGATGTCCCTCATCTCCGTGTATTCGCGAAATTTGTTGGCCGCCGTTTTCGCATTGAAAATTTCCCAAGATCGCTTCAAATTTAACCAGGCAACGGTAAATTCCGAAACGTTGGCATCTGGTCCAAACCGATAGAGCGACATTTGGGCAGAAATCGGAACGTTTGGCGGTGCGTAGTTTATTTGTGAGGTGAGAAAGTTCTCGTTCCTCTTAACGCCCGTTTAGAAAGGAAAACTGCCGCGATCGCTGAATTACGGATCAGTGAGCTCAACAGCAAATGAAATGCTCTACGCCAACCGACGGCAGTCTCTCGCGGGACTTTGCACCCAGACAACATGATCGCACATCGCAAGCTGCTGGCACTCGAACTTGACCCACGAGGAGGTTAGGACACGAGTTCGTCGTCCGGGAATGTATACATCCTGCAGGGAAGCGGAGAGTGCACGTGAGCTCTAGCCTAAATAACGCGGCTGCGGGCTCTAACGGCCCTGAGGAAGAAAGAGAGAAGGCTTTCGGGGGTGGCAAAACGACGATAGAGTCTGTGGCTAGCTGTAGATTTATGCGGGTAGAGCCACCGTCTGAAATCAGCTTGCGATGGAAAGGGAACGTATCATGGGAGAAAGGGTGGTGCAGTTTGATGTGTCTACCATTATCAAGATGTCAAGAAGTCATTCGGTGGTTGTGTCCACAAAGGTGCACCCGTGAAGATGTCGGCGACGTCAGCGGAAAAGGAGGGAAAAAAATAATGAAATCTAGCCGAACTTGGGACGTTCTCCCGCTGTTGTTTTTTTCCCTCAACTAGAAGTTTTTTTTTTTTTTTTTTTTCTGCATTACAGTGTTAGGTAGGTGTCACATTGCGGCGATGAACCATCACGTGACCGTGCGCTTTGCGCATCGCTGCGTCACTTCCGAAGTTCAGCCCCCTCGGCCACTGCTGGAATGTCCCGTAGATGGTCAGGTTCTTCCTACCACGAAGAAATGTTATGAAAAGCACCATCCTCCTTTCTGACGTTCTGATGGTCTATGGGTTCCAAAGCCACGACGCTCGTGCCTTCGTCAGCGCTGCGGGTGTTTATAAGATGGATGGTAGGTGGCGCGAGCCGCCGTCCGATTACGAGGATTTAGCCGTATACGTCCATCCATCGAGCGCAAAGCCGTCTGCTATAACGACGGCGCTTGTTTTTCTCCTCCCCGCAGATATGCACGTTTTGCAACGACGGCATGACTCCAGCCTGTCGAGATCCTGACCGACGTTGTTGTTTTGACTGAGGTGAGTAGCTATATACTCTCGATATGGTAAGCACGTAAAACAAAACAAAAAACAACTAATACATTATATCTGTTGGCGCGCTAGCATACCGCTGCGCTAAACTAGCGGGATCAAGTTGTGTCATCTATTACGCACGCTGATCAGAACGCGACTGGCAGGCAGGCCGCTTCCGGAGCGCTCAGTCTGGCGTGCCCTCTATATTTTCGTAAGCAGTTGTGAAACCCTGCTTTGTGCTCTCTATACTTGGGTGCTGACATCTGGCCATTTCGCTCGCGACACTTCTTGTATTTTTTTTTTTTTTTTTTTTGACGCGTGTGAAAGAGCGTTTTCCGCCACGAGTATTGCCATTGTGCTGCGCGTCAATTCTCTTTTTCCGGGGTTTATTTTTTTTTTTCTTTATTTTTGCGCTTTGCATCGGTCGGCATCGGGTACCCGTTGGCTGCTCGTAGTGTCCTACCAAGCCAGCACCGGTAAGGGAAGACGAGCCCTTTGCCCCGCCGCACACAAGGTAACTTTAGCGCACCCGCGCGTGCTTTCATTTGGCCTGAATTTGACTGCTTTGGGGGGTTTTCGATGACGCTCGACAAATCCGTAATTTTATTTATACTTATTTATTTATACATACCCTCAATGCCTCGGGGGCGTTGAGGGTATGTATAACCATTTATCTTGACTAATCGAAGAGTGATTTAGTAAATTTATGGTAATTTATTATGTTGCTAAGTGGTATGCTTTTTCGCACGTCCGTCGTGGCTGGCAGCTTGTTCCCGAAAATATGTTTTTTTTTTCCCTCCAACACCCTATTTTTAGGGATGTTTGAAAGTTTGCGCAGAAACACTCGGTATATAACCCTTCGCATTAGACCGATTAATCCATTAATTAGTGGACTAAAGGTCACCGGTTAAAAATTAAAATTCTTAATAAAAGGTTCGATGGCCCAGTTCTTGGATTTTAATGAATAAATTTGACCTTGGAATACAACCTAGGGGATCGCTGACGAAACCGCCATCCCGAGCTCAGAGTACATATATTATAACCTATTCAAATTAGCGGAAGGATAATAAAGTAAGAACGTAAATGCAGGATAGAGCGCTCTATCGCCGACAGGATACAGAGCTTTGTCCTGGTTCTGTTACTCTCCTTCTGTCTTTGCGCTCATTAAAAAAAAAAAAAAAAATGTATAGCCAACAAGTTGACCAGATGAGTTTAGTACATATATAACATGTAGAAATCGGCGCTTTCTGGTTTTAACCGATAAACACCAATCAACATGCGTCGATGTCACAAATAAAAAAAAATCGTTTACAACCGAAAAATACCGATAAACACCCGTTGGTGTCAGAAATACGAAATCGGTTAAAAACCGAAAAATACTCATTTCTGGAAATTTTTGCTACAACTAGGAGTGGTTTTGTCGAAATCCTCCCCTGTTCGTTTTGAACCTCTCAATTTTTTTTTTCATATTATTTTTTTTTTTTTGGATAATTATCGTTTTTAGGGTCTGTCCGAAACAAATGACCGAAAGAAGCCGGCATCTGAAAAATTAACCAACACCGAAAAACATTCGCCGATTAACCTTGTGAACAACGAAGGTGGAGAGTTGGCCGAGTTGGGGACGGCCGAGTCGGTGAAGCGCAACAGGACAATTGACAGAAAGGAAGCAAGAAGTGTCGGGCGGGAGGAATCCCGTTTTTGCCTTTTAAGACTTAGGCTAGGTGGCGCAAGCTACCGCCCTTTACAAAGGGTATAGCCATTAACATCCATCCAACCATTCAGCAAGCGCTGTGTCTTCCTTTCTGTCCGTTGTCCTGTTGCGCTTTTCGACCCTTATAAATAAGCACCGGAAAATCTGCGGGACACAGACATAGTTTTATAAGGTGACGTGACCCAGTTTTGTGTGATAAGAACAGGCGAGGTGAGGTGAGGTACACTTTATTGGGTCCAAGACTGTTAGATCCCCGCGTCAAGCGAGTCTCTCTTAGGGAGAGGCTCTTGACCGAGCGATCCCCTCATTCGACGGACAGGCGACAGGCGACGACATCTGCGGACTTTGTACGAATACTTTGTCCCGCCAGTTTGCATACGTACGATAAATGTTACGACGCAGCCACGAATGATAATTTCTTTTCCGGCGGACAGTGAGATTAGGCAAGGTGGGGCTTTATACGCTGATAAGCGGAACTTCGTAGGTGATGGATTGCGCATGAAGCTGCGATAAGCAGTCGTAATTTCTCTCGACTATACCACTCAGGAGCGGAGGTCGCGTTCTCTTGGATCTCGAGTATGTTTTGGTATTATGTCAGTTTTAATGCAGCTGAACAGTGATAAAGAAAAAAAAAAAAGATATAAATGATCACGATAGCGCTCCAACTGGAATTCATACTCCACCGTATGCATAATCACACTTCATATGTGGTGCATGAAATCAGACAACGCGTTATGTCAATACGTACCGCGGGACACATGCGACGTGAACAAATGCGTTATATTTTGGAAAGGAGTCAGAAACCAATGGCAATATGAAGCCTCCACCTCCTCCAGATCGATCGATATGAAGCCTAGACCATAAACAAAGTCGTGATTCAACAGCTCGTGCTGTCGTCAGAGCACCGCACACTCTCTTCTTCTCCTCTCCTTCACTTTCTCATCCGGGACTTCCACTCTTTCTACACAATCAGAAAGGAGGAAAGCGCCGGTAGCCCTTTCCCCTTTTCTCTCTCGCTCTCAAAATGGCGCTACTCACGATAAAACGGTTTTTCATCCCAGTAGTTATCTGACCGGCGGATAGAGGGCGCTGACGAACTCGACGCCGGGGTCATGGTGCCTGGCTTGACTTTTAGAAACGCATTGCTATGCATGAAATCCGAAGTGCATGTAAGACTAGAAATAAAACAGCGCGGAGTAGGTAGGCTGGCTTTGGGGTCACATTGCAACACGCCAAACCAGGGAGTACAAGGGGACATGGGATGGGCGTCATTTGAGAGCAGGGAAGCGGTGAGCAAGATAGAATTTGAGGATTGGTTGAGGCAAATGGATGGGGAGCAATGGGAACGAAAGGTTTTCAGCTATTTATTTATGAGGAGTATAGACACAAAGTGGAGACAGCGCACTAGGAAATTAAGACGAAAGTTTTTAAGCTATAGTGGAGTTACGGAAGAGCAGGTCTCAGTTAAGAAGAAAGTTAAGGCCACAGAAAGAAATCGGTGGCTAGAGGGAATGCAGACAAAGACGGCTCTGGAAAGCTATAGATTAAACGAAACAGTTATTGCCAAAGAAAGCATTTATGACAATTCTAGGGGAAGCTCATTGTTGTCTGAGGCGAGGACGGGTGTTCTGCGGACCAGAATATATACAGAGCGAAGTACCAGGAAATGGATACAGTGTGCACTGCTTGTGGAGAGGAGGACGAGCCGGCTGAGCACTGCAGTGGATACTCTACTGTAAAGGGCTTCACCCTATGCCTACCGATGGCAACATAGATTTAATAAAGTCATTGGGTTTTAGAGACAGCGAAGGAAGTGTGGATTTCAAGACATTAGAGATTACCAAGCAAAGATTAGGTGAATGGTGGCAGAAAGCGATAGAAAACTAGGTATTTTCTTATTAACTGATGGGAAGGTGGTTTTATAGCCTCACTTTCTTTGCAGTGCGGAGTGACTATAGTTTTCACATTTAAATATTTTAAGCTTAAATTCTAAAACAAAAAGGCTAGGTGGCGTAAGCTACCGCCCGATTTGAAGGGCTCAGCCGGATTCATCCATCCATCCGTAAGGTGGCTTCCTTTAAATTACTATACTCATTACAAAACTCGAAGCGCCTCATCGCGGCGTATAATGCCGCGTTATGCATTGTGGGAATCAGGGAGAAGCAAAATCCATACGCGCGATCCGCTCCTGGCCCAAAGGTTCCCAGAATGCAACGCCCGCGCGGTGACGGATTTATGGATGCTGTCTATTTGGTGGGCTTCGGTTTCAACGCGCTCGCGGCTGTGTTACGTCGTTTTCGCTCAATTTTGTGATACGAATGTGCCCCTTGTGGTACACAACCAGCGACACAGTGGTACGGGGCCACTTTGAGAACTACGAAATCGTTACGCGAGCCTAAATTGTGGGCGTTCTTACGAAAACCTTCATCTGGTCATGTACGTCGTTTGGCCAGGTTCGGCAGCGAAACGACTGAGCTGGCGCAGGACGAGGATTACCATGATTTTCATAAAATAATAAGCTAACAAAGATATTAATGCCCGGAGTCATAGTGAAAAGGTAGGGTGCCAACCCGATTAACAATTATGTGCCAAGTCGCGGAGAACAGATGAGCTTGCATGTTTAGTGCTCATTGTTTGATTTTCAAGGACACTGACATTTTCTGAACATCGCCAACTGGAAAACTGTAGTGGCGCTTAGAATGTAAAAATAGAACGCAATAGTGTCTCCGCCTGTTTACTTAAAAAAAAAAGAAAGAAAGAAAAAATTAGTAATCAAGAGACGTTTCGATAACCCATCCTAAGCCAAGTAGATTTTTTTTTTTTTTACTATTGTTTTGCTAATGTGTTAACAACATTTCAGAATGTTGGCTTTAGGGATTAAACTTTTTGTGGTGCGAACATTTCCTTGCGACGTATTCAGGATATGATCGAGATAAGTGACAGACCCGTCAAGTGAAATCTGACGCCCGTTTTCCGTAAAATATGAAAAATAAAATTAAAGGGTGCAAGAAACGTGATTTTCTGCAAGCTTAGCTGAAGTCGAATGTCAGGCACCACTTCGTAAATCTGTGTAAACATACCTTGTCTTGTTTAAAGAGATGCACTTTTTAGCTATCAGCAGCGTCGAAAGCAAATATGGCATCGACAACACTGCACTCGAGTGATTTTCACGCAGATGGCTCGGGTGACCTCCACGCAGACGCGTTTCTCACCCCGGGCTGTCCCACCCCGGTGTGAGACACCCCGGGGTGGGAGTACAAACATGGGACCAAGCCCAATGCGTTGTTTTTTTAAATGTAGAAAAAAAAAAAACCGATCAAGCGAACGTTTATACCGCAAAAACAATTCTACTATATAATCAAAAGCAACTGTTTTTTATTCGTTATAAAGGCAGAGCATGATGCTTTCAAGAAACACACATAGTGACTTTCTGCGTCTACATTATCGGCCGCCTTCTTTAGATATCTCGAATGCTCGATCATAAATATACCTTGCGGCGCTTGTTCGGCCACCATCCCTGACCAAACCTGCTTTGTCACAATTAATTGACCTCTCAACCCTCATGCTATGTTGAAGGCATCACCACAATCAGTGTGCTTTAGGCCTAACGCTGATTCATGCGCCACCTTTAGCAGCCTCCTCACGCGTGTCCGGTACGCCGAGGGTGCAAATAGTCCAAACGTTTTATAAAATAAAGTGCGGAAGTTGGGCCCATAATGATGGCACGCTATGGATAGTAAGGACAATTATGGGACGTCACTTTGCATAGCGAGAGAAGAAACCGCGTTGAAACGCGACGAAAAACGTCCCCCTCTATACTGACAAAGCCTGCCAGATCGCCATGAGAAGCGGCCGCCGAAATTGAAAAGGTAGAGCGGCAGACAACGGATGAGAGGAGAGCCACGTGACGGGCGCCCCGCTGCGGCGAGACGCCGAAACACACTTCTCCGGAGCGAACAAGTGTGTGTTCGGGTCCTCGCCGCTGCAAAAGCTGTGCGCTGACGCCCAGGTTCCCCGAGAAATGGCTCTCTGATGCTATGCGCCACCAGATCCTCGCGCTCGATATCGAAGACCGGGCACTATATATGGCTCCGTCGTCGAACTGCGAGGCTTTGTGAGTGTAGAGGAGGCTATGGTTTAGCATAACTTAATAGGCAAAAATTAAATGCAGCACACAAAAACAACAAAAACAATCAACCTCGGAGGTGTAGAAGGACGACACGCACACAACGCTAACAGGCGACTGAAAATGTGTTATCTTTGCATGAAACAGGAAGTAAACGAGAGACGGGAAAGATGGGAACAAAACACTCAACGCGATGAAACACGCCCAGCATGCCAGCACGTGCTTACAAAAAAGAAAAAGGAAAAAAAAAAGGGGGCCCTGCGTAAGACAAAGGAGCTACAAGAAGGTGTGGAGTTCGGCTGATCGGTTTAGCGCGTGTCGGCATGCTCAAAGTGTTTGATTAACTTGAGTTTTTTTTTATCTTTTGTTTACTTGATGTTTCGTATAGGAGTAAAATTTTCAGTTGCCAGTCAGAGCTGTGTTTGTGTACTCCTTTTCATTATCGTCCGCTCCTTTTTTTAATATTTTATATAAGCTGTTTAAACGATACGCCTTGCTGTTCTCATTCTGTAAAAAACTATTCCAACATAAAAGAAAAAAAACCCATCCCGAATTAGTTGTTTAAGAAAAGGGGGCGCGACGCCACCAGTGTCTTCCCTGGGCCGTCCCCGACTCGCTTCTAAACCTACAAAGCGGAGGTGATCAGTAAGAGTCCCTTTATCAGCCCGTTATCCGGATCCACTCGAGGAAGACTTGGAACACAGCCTCGGTTCGTTCTGTTACTGCGCTCCACGCTCCCTCAGGCAGTCAGCGTTTCAAGGAACACTTTGTAAGAAGCGCGATAGTGCTCCTTTAAATGTGATGACATTTATTACCATATCTTACGCACTTCCCCGTCCGTGGCTCGGTTTGTAACCAACGAAGCAGGCGACCAGGCATCTGTTATATACTTACTTCAATTACGAGATATGTTATATTTGCTTCTGAACGACACATACAGTTACTAAATCTTATGTTTGTGTACATATTATGTTTAGCGGGAGAAACATTTAAATTGCAGCAATGCTATAACAAAGGTCGTTGGTTGGTCGCAAGAGGCACGTCAGCGGTAAGTGGACAGATCCGAATATTCTGATAATTGGTTTTAAATGTGATAGAAGACTTCATGAACGTCGACGAAAAATATTCCTAGAATTTACACGGCAGTCCCTGAGCAGTTTAGCGAGGAAACGTTTACGCAGCACAAGGGTCAAGACGGTGCAAACTGCTATCGCATTTCAACGGCAATCCGCGCAACGATTTCGCGGCAACAATTTGTTATCTCGGAGTTCATAGCCACGCGTTACCCGGCGGGACCTGTAGCCTCGGCTTGACCCTTCTAGGCGTGGCGATGACGTCGGTCCCGAAACAGGACTCCGCAAGGAGCTGGGTGGTGGCCTTCAGCTGCTGCTGGATCAACTTCTTCTCGGCGCTCATGTACAAGTCGAGCGGCGTCGTCTACGTCGGAGTGCTGCAGACGCTCAACGTGTCCAGAGAAGAAGCCTCGTGGCCACTCACTCTGCTGGCCGTCTTCATATTTACCACCGGTAGGAGACCACGCGTGTCATCCGCCAGGATTGAATCGAATGGGACGCATTGGCGTAACTTCGTTGTTGTGGCGCACAGCTTGGGGGCCGCCAGGTGCAGAATCATGGCTTTGATTACTCTTACCTTGCTGTCATTGAATATCTTGTCTTGGCGGGCTGACAGAACCTGGCTCAGAAGACATTGGGAGAGAGAACCAGGGTGTGTGGAAGAAGCCATGAGATGTGGTTTTTGGAAATTTGTGAGATTACGAGTGGAAGAACTGGTCGAATGCGTAGCAAGCGCCTGCTGTGAACTCGTGAAGACTGTGGCAAAAGATTATTAAATGAAGATGCATCTTTCAGGTCCCGTGGCAGGTATCCTTGCCCTCTACCTAAGCATATGGAAGATCTCCGTGTGTGGATGCCTCCTGTCGGCCTTGGCTGTCTGCGCCTGCTTTTACGCGGACAGCATCGTTTACCTGATGGTCTGCTTGGGCGTCGTCCAAGGTACGCGCTCGTCTTTCTCTCCGTTGCACCATATTCAGATCCGTTCCGTGGCTGGTTTGAAACATCCTTTTCTATTGTCTGTTTCTCTTTGGAGGTTTTGGACTTGGACTCCTGACACTCCACAACGTCATCATCAATCAGCACTTTGAGAAGCACAGGGCCACCGCTTCGGGGATCAGTTACGCCGGCCCCACGCTAGCGTCCCTGGTGTACCCTCCGGCCGTTGAAGTCCTCTTCGAAGAGTTCGGGCTACGAGGCTCGCTCCTCCTGTTCGGTGGAATTATGCTCAACGCCGTCGCCGGAGCCTTCCTACAGAGACCCCCGTCTTCTAAAACCGCCAACAAGTCTTCCTTCAAAGTCGTGCCTGAAACATTAACAGCGGATGACGTCGACTGTGCCGCGCCTCTTGCCCGTGACGTCTGGGTCGAATACAAAAAGGACGCTCCACTAGACGACCAGGTCAGGTCGCCATCCGGTCTTCCAGAGTGCGGGGACTCGGCGGTACCCTCGAAATACCTGCCAGAAGATAAAGACGTGCGTTTCCACGGCCTCGACGCGGCGGAATGGTCACGACTGCATCGCAACCTGTCCCTCTTCCTCTTGCCAATGTTCTACCTGATCTGTGGCTCGTTCGCCCTGATTCTCTTCAACCTGACCACCTACCTGACCGTCATCGTGGACTTTGCCGTTGGCTATGGCGTCTCCCGAATCAGTGCGGTGCTCCTCATCTCAGTTTACTCCATAGCGGACCTGGCGGCCCGTCTAGGGTCCGGCTGGATATCCGATCGAGGTTTCGTGAGCAGGGGCAACATGATGGCCGTACACTTCCTCATAGGCGGACTGGTGCTCTTTGCCATCCCGGTCTTCACGACGTACGTTGGACAAGTCGTGTTGGCCGTGGTGTCCGGATGGGCCAACGGATGCACGATGATTCTAGTGTCTGTCTTGCTCACCGAGCATACTGGGCTTGACAGGCTGCCGGTGTCCTTCGGCGTGACGTCTCTCGTCGCTGGCGTCCTCTGCCTGGCGAGACCTCCACTGATTGGTGAGTGCGATGTCTTCTACGAAAGTACCTTGTTTTTATCTCATACCTGAGCGCGCGTCGCGGCGTCGCCCTCGTGTGTAATCGCGCGTTAAATATTAATCGTGTTAGAATCGTCCGACTTCGTAGAATCGTGGCACGATATTAGCACGCATTGTTAGCATTTATTTGGAGGTTAGTTGGCAGTCGTACAGATATAGCAGATTAACAGTCGTACTATAGTACACCAGATGCCATCTTCTTAACTTTCCACTAACCCTAAACCTTGATACAATATGTTCGAGTTTTGACTTCACAGTGTTAAAACTAATTTGTTCTTAAAAGATTCTTATAAATTCTATTTTATAACTAAGTATTGTATTTTGGAACCGAGTTTCTATAATATGAATGATAAAATCTATAGTTTGTTTCACTTTATCTGTGAGTTCACCCGTAGCTATGAGCCCGACCATGTTGCTCTGAGCGATGCTTGCATGGAGTATAGGTGCACATTTTTATAAGCTTTTGCATGCGCATGTCTATATTTTGCTGCCAATGCAGTCTGACTTCCCAAAATTTATTGTGTGCGCGCCCAAATTCGCTTTCATTTGTCAGGACTCGGGAGTGACTTACGCATTAGCCGTTAATATAAGAAAAACAAAAAAACAAAAAACAAAAAAAAAACTTGCCGGTTTTTGATGGAGTCTTGTCTGGTTCTAGGCTACTACAGGGACACCTCGGGGGACTACGAAGGGCTCTTTCGTCTCATCGGCGGTGCATCGATCGTTTTCTCGGGAATATGGTCCGTCGCGACACTAGCACTCAAGCTAAGGTCAAGACGAAAGTGATGCTACTCTCGACGCCTTGTTCACGACCTGGTCACGTCTCCGTTGTTCGTCTGGTGCGCGTACACTGAGACAGTTTCCTCGCCCCAATCAATATACACTAAGCTTGCCAACGTATAGAGTCGTCTGTGTGTGTGCGTGTGTGTTTTCTACTCCGAGCTCATTCAGTGGCTCTGTTGCAAACTAAGCACTAAGTTTACATATCTGTTGGTTTACAATCCCTCACAAAACTAAACGAATCAACTGGTTAGCGGCGCGAGCGTGTATACTTTGAGACAAATCTCATGCCGACGTCGCTCAGACTCAACTCGTTTTATAGAAAACTGTACTGGTGACTGCAGCTTGCGTTTATGTCACTGCTTCGTTACATTGAATCCTCTAGCGACGCACGGAGTGCCTTCAATCAATTTGTGAACATAAACGCGCTAGCGACACCATCTTAACTCAGTGGCGTGCACTAACCCCTAGCAGACGGGCATATAAAGTTACTCTCACCAGCACCCCCTCGACAAGCGCCATCTGTCGAATGCACTGTATACTCTAAATCGGATATTTTGTTTTGCGCACATGTCTCTGCAGAGCAGTCGACTGAAAGAGCTGGTAGTACAAAATGGCTTGGCGGTACGCGTGTTTACGCTAAGGTAATAGTTCGTATGGACCTGACGTACAAGCGCGGTATTATTTCACTCAGTTTTGTCTAGGCAACGAGTTTGTCTTTTCTTTATTTGGCTTTGTGTGTATCTGTTTTTTGCGTCTGAATAAAAGGCGATGAGCCCGATGTAAACAAACTAAAGGCCGTGCTTTATCCTGGGTAACATGAAGCATTTATAGAATACAAAATTTGATTGCTACCTGGTTAAAACAGACTATGTGTTTTCTTATTTTACTTCAAGTTATGGTATTTTGGTCTAGGAAATGACGACAGCGGCGAAGTATAATAATCTTATCTTCTTGCAGAAAACAAAAAATCTTACGAATGTGAAAATTATAAGGGGGATACCGGAAATTTAAGCACAGAGCCACGCTTCATCAAATATGATATGATTAAGGCAGACCAAGTATATTACTTCAGACTTTTACAAAGGATACATAAAGATAGATTTTACGCCACACGAACAGACAGGCTGAGTGCATATAATAATGTTTTATTTTGCACCAAAAATACATGATGCAGGAGGCCTGCAGAAACAGCTGTCAAATAGCTTGACAAAGCCGAAAACTTCCATACTGGCAGCATCGGGGCAAAGATAAGATAATAAACAATAGAAGTAAAAGTGGAAACATAGTGACGAATCTTTTCACACAAAAAGATAAAAATATAGAAAAGATAATAAACTATACATATTAGAAATACAGATAAAAATGGACACACAATGATGAATCTGTTTACACACAAAATATAATAAATTGTACATCATAAAAATAAAATTATCATATAGTGACAAGTCGTTTCATTGAACCACAAAAAAAAAAAGAAGAAATCAACAAAAATGAAACAATAGAAGTTTCTGGAAACAAATTATACCCCCCCCCCCTTCTTTTTCTTTTTTTTTTAGTATAAGAGTTTAAAGTATTCTGAAGAAGTTACGCAGTTCTTTAAAAGAAATATGTTCTGACTGAATATTTTTATCATGTAATTTATTTAATAATCTTGGTAATTTGTTTTGTATCATTTCTAAGCCGTATCTTGTTCTACAGGTGTCTATTTTCCAAGGCTCATTTTTTCGCGTGTTGTGTACTGTAACATGTGGTTTTAGTTTTGCCAAGTTTCTTAAAAGGCAAATGTTATTTCTTGTTTCTTGTTTATATTTCTTACAGAGGCGGAAATCATACATTTTTGTTATAGGCATTACATTATATTTTGTAAATGGGGATTTTGTGTGATAATGATTAGGCACCTTTTTTACCATTCTCAGAAACCTTTTTTTGTAATATATGTATTTTCAGCAGATTTTCTTGTGTGGACGAAGCCCAGACTAAATGACAGTAGTTGAGTCTCGAAGAAAATAGTGGATTATATATTAAGATCATAATGTTACGTGGCAGTATATACCTATTCCGATATGTCACGCCGAGGATCTGCGACAGCTTAGTCATCACTGAATTTATATGATTGTCCCAAGACAATGTTCATGAAATACGACGCCTAATGTCTTGAAGAAGGGCACGATCTCGACAGGAGCAGATTTGAAAATAATTGTTTCGCTTGTGACTATATTCTTGTTTTTACCGCGAAATAAAATTGCTTTTGTCTTTTCAACATTTATGTTTAGACCATTACCTTTTGTCCAGTATTCTAGCCCAAGTAGAGTCGAATTCGCAAGGTCAATTATTTCATCGGGTAATTTGCCGGCTAAAAGTATGCTGGTATCGTCCGCATAATTAATACATTTGGCACTAGAAGAAATATATATACTCACGATATCATTTACATACATATTAAAAAAAAGGGGGCCCAAAATGCTGCCCTGTGGTACGCCAGAAGAAACTCGTAGAGGGTCCGATAGAGAGTTACCCAAGCTAACGATTTGGCTACGATGTTGTGAATAGGATCGAATAAGGGACGCTGCTGTTCCACGAATACCATATCGCTCTAGTTTTTGTATGAGAAGTTCGTGATTAATAGGGTCGATGGCTTTTGTAAAGTCTACAAACAGACCTAAGACTAGATTTCCTTTTTCTAACTCGGAGAGAATGTGCTCTTTCTGCGCAAGTAGAGCCAGCTCTGTAGTGAGGTTTCTACGAAAGCCATACTGGGAGTCAATTAGCAGGTGATGTTTTGTTTCAAATTTATTAAATCGTTTAAGAATAACTTTTTCGAATGCCTTTGAGAATACTGGTAGAATAGATACTGGTCTGTAATTCCCCATGTCATTCCTGACACCTTTTTTAAAAAGCACTGTGCCCCGCGCAACCTGCATTTTTATTGGAAAGACCGCATAACTAAGGCAAAGATTAAAAATACGCGCTATGCGAGGTGCAAGAGAGAAAACAGCATGTTTAAATGGCTTTACTTGCATACTATCAATATCTTCAGCATTACTATTTTTTTAAACTTCCAAATATATCGGTGACTTCCTCTTCACTTACAGGTTCAAGAAAAATTGAGCTATCATTGTGTGAAACATGTCTAAGGTCGGTATTTAACGTTAGTTTATCCACATATCTGATTAGAAACTCAAAGCGAAGGATGCCGGCCGTAAGAACCAACAACGGCCGACAAGCTCTAACCGTTCAAACAACGAAAACTCTAAACAGAACGGATCTAAGCATTAACTTCAGTTGCACCTTTTCTAGTTTAAAAAGTGATTTCAGAAGGTTCTTGGTTGGCAGTGAAATCGCATTTTCATCTGGATAGTGTATTTCACCAAAAACATGATCACTTTATATAGCTACTTTCAAATAAATATGTTTTCATTGTATAATGACATGTCGGAGATATATAAGATGGCACTCTAGATTTTTTGTTTACTTTAGATTTTTACACGACTATCATTTACTGACAATTATAGTGTTTTCTTGTTTTTGCTTTCACCAAATAAATGTAGTGTTTATTTTCCCTTGTTGCTTTGACTTTTTTCTCTTTTAATTGTGTAATGTTTTGTAGAATTGTTATTATGGAGCTATCTTGAGCTGCTGAACTTTAGGGGAAAGAGGCTTTGTCAGGCACCGCGTCTTTTCCTCAGACCCCCTACGCGGCAAAAACGCAGAAAACAAATAAAATATTAAAAAAAAAAAACTATATCATGTCAGAAATTTGTGCAAGCGCGATATGCATGGTATGAACCCGTGAAAAAAAGCTGCGTCCAAGGTTGTACTATGCAAGCGTATCGTTGTTAGCGAATCGTGGTGTTGTGGTCTCATGCACGCCGGTCCTTGGTCTCCTCGTGTACTTTGCACTAGAAAGTTCTAGAATCCCTCATTTCGAGGTCTTAAATAAAGCTGTCGGGGCCATTTGGACGGCTAGTGTGTGTTATGCAACGGTTACCCCTAAACGCAGGAGCCAGTGCTGTTATGGGTACAGACGAGCCACGGTCGTGTCGTTTCCCTCATCTGGAGATAAACTGAGGCAGAAGAGGTGATGAGACCGAGCGGTGACCTCGGAGCAGACGACGCCCTTGTTCACAAGCTAGCCTATGCGTCTACCCACTAAACCACCCAATCAGAGCTCGGCGCTCCGCGACGTCACCGCACGCTCTCTTCTCCTCCTCTCCTTCACGTTCTCTCCGCATAGTGACCTTTTCGAGCTCTATTTTGTTTTGCGTGTCCCCCTTGGTACGCGCGTTATTTTTCGTGTTGCAGCCGCTGTCTTCGTTTGAACGCCCTGGCGGCGTTTGCTCACCCTGCAAAATTCACCGCTGGGGCCTTTGTAGATGTGCCGCTTTGTAGATTCAATAATTTTACGAAATGAAAATTAAAAAAAAAGGTGATTTGCTCGTGGTTATTTATTGACTAAGTGGAGTCGCAAACAAACTGTGATAGCTGCTGGAAAAGTGTAACAGTAATCAGTGGCAGTTTTTTTTTTATGTTTAGTTGGTTTCCTTGTAACGGGGAACATCCTTTGGGTTACTGTCGAGTAAATATTAAATTGACATCTTTCGGGGATCTATTCTTTATTTTTTATTTTTTTAATGAAGACGATGTATAACTGACGAGAGTGTTGGTTGGAATAGAAGGCAGGTGGGGCAAGGGACGACGTACGCTTTCTTGGAACTAGCAACAGTACAATAAAGCCACAGCTGTCTTTTTCGGAATGACACCCCACAGTAGAAAAAGAAACAGGAACGGAAGGGGGTAAGGAAAGAAAGGAGAGGATATCTTGAAAATTGAAAAAAGATTAGAAGATTAAGGGGGAACGGTAGGGTTAACGGGTTATCTTGGATTTAATTTTGTAGGATCGACAGCTACTGCATATGTTTTTATGAAACTTTATGTATTGAATGGTTCCACCCTTGGAATTAACGGTCTGTTGCTTTTTTGCTAAAGCTCTTTTTTATTTCTTTTATTTTTTAGATTTTTAGTAACTTATAGTGTCAAATCTTAGGCTGAGTTCCTGTTCTGATGTCCCTTTTCTCTGCAATGAAAGATAGGATGCCCATTTGATTTGCCACGTATCTTTCACATGTTACCGGCTTTAAGCTGAATGAACCTAAGAAATATACGGTTGAACATGCAGCATGCAAAACAAAAAAAGAAGAAATGTTCTTCCTGGCCATGAGCCTTAACAGGGTTTAATTTTTTAAACATTATAATGTAGTTCATTCTTGAAACTTTTTTGGTTCGAACTGATAACAAGCTATTTTACTATAGGCTGTAAAAGGTTTAGCGTAATGCGGATGAGTAGTTTCTTAATTGAAGTACATCGAAATTTAAAAAAAAAGAAGAAATTACTCTTTTTTTTGTGTGTGTGTGAACAACACAATTTTTATGTCGATATTTTGTTCATCTACATTTTGTCTACGTTTTGTTCATCGTTCTGCTGGAGTGCAAAAGGCTGCCTGCAACCAAATACATGTCTTTTCTTGGCTTTTCTTTTTTCTCCCCAGAAGCCTTTTTTTTTTGTGTTCCTCTTCCTTCTGCGTCATTCCTTAATTTCTCTATGGTAGTGTCTTCGTGGTATTAATAAATAAATATATATATAAACAAACATATGCATCTACTAATTTTAAATACCAGGGCGCAGATTTTTACGCCATATTTAAGTTGAAATGAAATGAAAGGAAATCTTTATTTCCAGAAATTTACTCTAGCGGGCCTCCAGGCAAAAAGCTACCATATGGTAACTTGACTGGGTCTGGGGCCCTAAAGCAAAACAAGCATAGCGCAATCTGGCAGAAAAGTGGGATACATTGAAAAGTCTCGTTATACAGCATATAGAGTTTCTCTTACCAACGAGGCATGTACTTCAGTATCAATAAACAGAGTAAACAAGCGAGAGCGCAGAAACGTTCGGCAGCAAGCATATTATGCCAAGGCGAGAAAAATAAAAAGGAAAATGTCATACAGAGACATCTGCTTTAAATACTTCGCACACCCATATGAATCTCCAGCTGCGCTTTGGACATTTTACTCTGCAAATATTTCTACATCGGTACCTGGAGTTACGAAAAAATCGACTTTAAACCAAACCACGTTGAAGCAAATGACACTTTCAATGCTTTCTGAAGCCCCAGATGCCGTTACTGCGGTCTACACGGATGGGTCAATAAGCGATTCATCATCTACAGCAGCGTTTATAATTCCATCTTTAAATATAGAAAAAAGCTTCTTACTTTCACACAAGACAAGCTCAATTAACACAGAACTATTTGCTATTTTGCAAGCGGTTCTCTACTTTACCCAGAAAACAAGTATTACCAGTTGGACTCTCTACACGGATTCAATGAGCGCACTGAACATGATAAAATACACATCACCAACAAGTTCATCTATTGCAATTAATATTTGTTTCCACCTTTCGAGAGCTATTGAAACTGGACATAAAATTAATTTTCAATGGATCCCTGCACATTGTGGCATTCAAGGAAATGAAGCGGGCCGATTCGGCAGCCAAAAATGCCCACAATATAAATACCAAGACTGCAATTACTTTCACGAAAGCGGACACATTAAACCTGCTCAGAAGGACATCAAGGCAAAGGTCCGAGGCTACTTGTTATAGAGACGCTCCTCAGAACTCCCATCTCGAAAGGATTGACCCTAACTTAAAATTTTGGATGCCAAGACACATTTCAAGAGCTTCTAAAACATTGATACACAGACTTCGATTAGGTGTTCCTTTTGGACAACATTTCCTACATGGAATACGACAAGTTACCTCCCCTTTATGCACCACATGTGACGAAATAGACGACGCAGAACACGTACTAATCAACTGCCGAAGGTACACAGATGAACGAGACCATCTTCGAGAACAAATGTCTACTATCGATAACCGCCCATTGTCCCTCACAATTAACACTCCTTGGTCCATGGAACACACGAAGGACCCAACAAACTGTGATCGGGTATCTTGTAAATTATCTGGAGGACACAAAATTAAGTGAGAACTATTGACAAGAACAAATTTCATGTAGAGTACGCTCCTGGCATGCCGTCGCTGTGCTGCGCAGCCTATTTTTGGAAGGGACAGGACACCGTTCTGGAGGCTGCCGGTTCGAGGACTAGGTAGCGTGGATACCTCCTCATAGTAAGGACGGTTGCTTAGTCCAAGGACGGTACCTCCCACCAGGGATGGTCGGACGTATCGTGACGTCGGGTTTTGGATATTGTACATATGTAAATGATAATTTTATATATATATATATATATATATATATATATATATATATATATATATATATATATATATATATGTACATATTCTTTTTCTTTTTTTTTTTGTCAAATTTATATGCTGCTTATAATTTCAATCAATGGTCTGGAGTAGCCGGCGCTGGTCCTGCAGCTGCTAAAATATCCACTTTGAACGTTTTATTTTAATAAAGATCTATTCTCTCTCTCTCTCTCTGCGCTAAATAAAACACATATACAATTCAGCTCTAGTCAGAGAGATTATATCTATGTTGTCTAAGCTTAGAGCGCTCGTTTGCACTCGCCTGCTGTGGTGCCCTCTTATGGCGCTGGTTCGTTCAAAACATATGGAATGCAATCATTGCACGAACAGGAATCAACTGAGACCCGTTGAAAAAAAAACTAATCGAGTCTAGTTGCGATGTCAATTGCGTCCTAATAATAAAATGAAAGCCGTTTACAACTCCCCGAAACACTGAATTAGAGCGCAGCTCTTGAGGAGGAGGAGGGAAGGGTACTGAGGAAACCGTATTCGCGACTCCAGCAAAACGGATGCCGCCAAGCGGGAAAACCGGGAACCAGCCGGTCCAGGTCGCTCCGCGCCCCGCCGCGTCTCTGATGGCTTTCGCGGACGCGTGCTGTCGGCGCGGCGGCGAGCAATGTAATTTGACGAAGGTCCGAAAATTTCTTAAGTTTGCCTGAGTGTTCATTAGTGTGGTGAAGCCTCAGTAGATTGTTTCTTTCCATCACGTGTTTGAAAGCCCGTTTATTTCACAACACACGGTCGCGTGCTTTCAATTTTTTGGATGGGGAGGAATCACGGAAAAACGTTTTGATTTCTCGTCTGTCTCTAATGACAATCAAAGTGACGACTGCTTGGTAACTGATAAGCGGTTTCTTTATAAGGATGTAGAACAGTAGACTGAGGTCGACAGACAAAGTGTTTTACTGGAGGGGACACCAATGTTGCAGTCAAGTGAATGGGAAGGTTCGATAGCTGCTTTCCTTGAGTTTGGTTGTGCTGGATTAGCTTCAGGTTAATTTGAGCCACTAAAGCCGGCCGGTGCGTTGGCTATTCATCTTGGCGGCTTTTCGCCGAAAAAGACCACATTGAAGGAGTTGGGCTCATTTCGCAATTACTTGATTCAGAAAACCTGCTTGCTGCATATGATTAATGAGGGAAATTATCTGCTTTCAAAAGGTGGGGGACGCGTCTCGCAAAGATAGAAGCTGTCACGTCATTAGGATCTATCGCGCCTCCAATACTTATAACCCCTGTCGAATCCAGCAGCAATATACGTCTACATTGCTCAAATTGACCGGCCACAAAAAAAAAAAAAAATACTAATTTTATTTGTTTAGGATTCAAAGTCAAGCTCAATGCAGAGAGGTCTGAGTGAATCTCCGATGAATACTCCCCTCAGCTTGTCCGC